TGCAAGGTTAGTACTAAATTTTGCAAATATGAATTATTTGAATTACCTGGTCCCCCTTCCTGTGGTTCACTGGTGGTTCCTCCATTTCCAAAATTAACAAGACCAGAATGGGGATTCTCCAATGTATTATTATTAAGAGTTGGTGTGGGTGGTGCAGCAGGCAATCGACTAACTAGAGCCTGAAGAGCTTTGCCGACATGTGCATCAATTAGCTTTTGTAAAGCTTCATTTGTACCTCCTTCAAAGTGTTCAGATTGTTCTTGTTGATCAGCAAGGGATTCAGTAACAGGAGTGTCTTCACGAGATTGACGTGGTGAATCTGGAGGGGAGGGAACCACGTCACCTTAATTTTGATGGATTTGATTTTCATGGTTTCCCAATGTGTTATTACTGTTATTGTCGGTGTTGTTGTTTGACATGGTGATAACAATGGACAAGATGTAGCTTAAAAGAAAAGATTATCAGATTCCCGGTAACGGAACCAATTTGTTTAACCAAAAATCTGAGTCTTTGGTCAAAGCTAAAAAGAAATTCGGGTTACTGATAATCAGGAGACGAAAATAAAATGTTTTTGAGAATGATGGTAAAGCAGTAAATAGTTTTGTATTTCAGTAAGATCTCAATAGTATTTCGTGTCTCTACAGATGTTGAGTCCTTCTCCTTTTATAGTTGATTCTAGGAGAAGATGTAATGCCTTTGTCTTAATGAGGCAATTATGAGCAATAAATGACATTAAAAGAAACGTTACACAATCATTTCTATTTAATTCAAATATTCTAACGTATTTGATATTTAATGTTGTATTTAGACTCTTTTACGTCATCAGATTCGTATCTTCAGCTTCTTCCGATCTTCGGTCTTTAAATGACTCGAATAGGTACGAGACTCGTACCTATTTTAGTAACAGTTCACACCTATGTTGCTTTCTTTTTCCCTTATTTGTTGTCGCCCGTGCCTCTTGGCTATTTATTGTCTTTTGACCATTTGACCAGTCCACGTGTCATGCCACGTCACCTACAATGTAAATTCAGTTTTTTTCCAATACAGATGCAGTAATGGGAGTGACCTATTAACAACTTGTTTCTAAGGTTCAATTAGCCTTTTAAGAGAAGTAAAATTCCCACTATCCTGTATCAACGACAATAAACCAGTAATTATAAATTTAGTATCTTCAGTAGCTGAAGCTGTCAATTTCTTCTGGAATTTCATCTGAAAACTCTTTCAATTAAAGTTTCAGTCTTAATGGATTCCTTTTCTGAAGGTAGTAACAAAAAGTTCACAATATAAAGAATAGAATTAAAATGTATTCTTTTCCTCTAACTGATTGAAGGATTAATGAAGTTCCTAAATAATAGAATATGTCAATTGTCAAAACAGCTTAATGGATGTAACATGGCTGAAGAGACGGTGAAGATGCTTTTCTTGAACATTTTTTCAACCCTTTTTTTCTCTAGCATGAAACTTGCATTACGAAGTTAATAATTGCTAGCATTATGTTCTGAATTAGTTCAATAATATAGAACTGTTAGCATTATCTCTCAGTTACAATTAATTTAATCATTTCCAATTCTGTAGAGATTATATTGCTGAAAAAGATCCAACCAAAAAACACATTTCCTTTCATGATAATTCAAGCAAAACTAGGATAACATCGATGGAGAAAACCTCCTCTGCCTCCTTTCTGTTTCTGGCATTTTTATTAATATCTCTTCACAATATCGCAGCATGCTTAGCTTTGAATATAAGCACTGATCAATCTTCTCTTCAAGCCTTGAAAGCTCACATCACTTCAGATCCTAATCACATTCTTTCAAAAAACTGGTCTTCTTCAACCTCAGTTTGTAACTGGATTGGAATCACTTGTGGCTCTCGTCATCAAAGAGTTACCGTACTGAATGTGTCAGGTATGGGTTTCATTGGTACCATCCCACCACAACTTGGCAACCTCTCTTTTCTTGTATCACTTGATCTAAGCGTCAACAATTTTTATGGTGAACTTCCACTAGAATTTTCTCATTTACGAAAATTGAGAGCCATTAATCTTAGTTTCAACCGTTTCTTTGGACAAATTCCTCCGTTTTTGGGTGATTTTAAAGACCTTCGAATGCTGTCCGTTGAAACAAATGATTTCAAAGGGTTCATTCCTTCTTCTATCTCAAACATGAAGAATCTTGAAATCTTGAATATGAGGTTCAACTATCTGGAAGGAAATATTCCTGCAGGAATAGCCACTCTTCAAAGTTTGAAACTGTTGTCCTTGGGATTCAATAAACTCAATGGCTCCAATGTGCTTTCCATCTTAAACATATCATCACTAGAAAATTTGGATCTCGGGGGTTCTGCTTTAACTGGTGATCTTCCATCTGATTTGTGTCGTCGCCTTCCCAGATTACAAATACTTGACCTAGAATCCAACATGTTAAGTGGACAGATACCAAGAACCATATCTGAATGCTCCGAACTTCAATTCCTATGGTTGTCTGAAAATGACTTTGTTGGAACAATTCCAGGAGAAGTAGGCAACTTACAGCTGCTGAAAGGTTTAGATCTTGGACATAACACGTTAGAAGGTATGTGTTTACCATTTTTCTCACGAGTTTATATGGATATAACACATATATATATATATATACTAACAGTATAAATAACTTTATAACCTGTTAGGCCAATCTTCACATAAGTTAAAAGTGTTTAGTTCTTTTCAAACAAATATGGATAAAAACTATATTATCCACTTAGAAAATGGATAATTAACGGATAACTAATGGATTTAACTTTTACATTTGTAAAGCCTCAAATTGGGATTCTTCAAGTTTGAGAGATTAGGAATTCTCCCAAAAGTAATCCTACTCAAACGGAACGGTGCGAAATAATACCCGGGGCGGGAGATTCAATCAAAATTCAGAAGCTGAAATTTAACCTCCAGTGACAATCCCCTTCATTGTGTCGAAACCGGTCTTAACCGCTCATTTGAGAGAAGCCATGAATAATCAGCAAATTAACCAATTTTCTATCCGTTTAAATATGGGTGATTCGGATAATTAATCTGTTTTTGTAATACCCGTTCTCGACCCGACCAGCCCGTTTGCCACCCCTAGTACAAACTTCTTAAAATGGCATATATATTGTTGAAATACATGTGATTAATATGAAATTTGAAGGAAAAAATACGAGATCACGAACAGTGAGCGTATTCGACCAATTTGACAGTTGACTCTAAAATAATTAGATAATGCTTAAACGTGCAAAGTTGAACAACTACATTTTGTTATAGTGGATACAAATATACAATGTGTCATGAAATTAATTTTGATCTTATTAGACACAAAATATTGTATATGATATGATTAAAATCAGAGTTGTTATTTTTTCTGTAACGAGAAAAAAAAAAATCAGTCAATTATTACTTGGAAGAGTGTATATCTTAGATAGAAAATTGCTGGTAGAACCTAGTTAAAAAGTGTCAATAAGTATCAATTTTATGAAGAGAAATTTTCATAAAGCACTATCTTTTGGTAGTAATTAGCCATTTATAGATATCATTTGCTATATTACGGATTATAGATACCTTTTGTGTGGTTATAAGATGTATTTGATGTATTTAAGTTATTGTATTCATGAATATAGTAGCAAAAATAGGCGTGAATCAGGGAAATCCGGCTAATCAGTTGTCGTATTCGAGTGTATTCGACTGTATTCATGGAGTGAAACATGAGATTACAGCTGGACAGATTATTGTATTCAACTGTATTCGACTGTATTCACGGCGTGAAATAGGGGATTACACTGTTTTTCAAACGGAAAGTGAATCAATTAACATAATAAACTACTAATATAACTCAACAAACTCAATTATAACACACAAATTTTGTATTTTCAGTTATAAAAAAGATTCTCAACAGAAAAATACCCCAAAAATATAGCAATCTTTAGAAAAATTATATAATACATCTGAATACATAAATTATATTAATTAAATAAATATATGAATACATTCATGGCATATAGCGAGACAGTGAATATAATGAAATACATATAATACAGCGAGATATATTGAAATATAATTAAAAAAAATAAGCAATGAATACATTGAAATACATGGAATACAACGAGATACATTGAATTACAATGAAAAACCCTAAAACTCTGATGGATCTATTCAAGCAACCTGCAACAAAGTGGCTAAAACGGGTCTCCTTTCCATTTCCAGAGTTCGATCTATCACCGCTTCTGAAAAACTCGGCCGAGAAGGTGAAAATCCGAAACACGAAGGGGAAGAAAATTGAGAAGTAGGCGGAGAAGTACTATCAGTTGTTGAATGTTCAGGAGAAAACCAATTAAGAGTTCTCATTCCTTTTCTCGGCATCGTCTTCAGTTTAGATAAATTATTCAAAAATTTCAATGTTTTGATATGGTTTTTGGATGAAGAAGGAAGAGTACAGTGTCTATGATTGAAGTTTTGATATGGATTTCCATGGCGGTTGAGGGAGAGATATTGGCGTTGATAGAGAGAGGGTGGAGAAAAATCTGAAAGAATGAGAGAGAAAAATAATACAAAGAGTATTTTATGGTTTAAGAGTAGGAGGTAACCATAAATAGATATTTGACTATAAAAATCAAAAGGTATCTATAGAATATAATTTTTTAACAAGATATTTATTTAAAATAAATAAGGTATCAACCTTTGCTATAGGAAGTAAAAATTCCTTTTATGAAATGAAACTTCTAAGGAATAAAAAGCGCCTTCCTAGTATAAAAAAAAGTAAATTTACCAATGCTCTCTTAATATAAAGTAGAAATATTTTTTTAAAGTAGAAACAATTGATTAAAGCACAATACAATATTTAAATGAAAACACAAAAACACTACTATGTGATAAAATAACGTAACATGCACGTTTAACAATATAAAGATTCCTGGCCATACAAACTAACTAGTAAATTTGACCGCACTTTGCGCAGTTATAAAGATAGAAATAAATTTTTAAATAACAGTTTTCTTGTATATGCATATAATTTTTAATTCTTTTATATTGATTAAATAAAAAAGGTAATATTTTTACTGAAATTAGTATATTTTACTGCATATTTCATTATCAAACCTCTTTTCTAAAATAAAATAAAATAAAAATAAAAAGAATTTTTAAGAAACTTTTTCACTTTTAATATAAGTATGTATTGTTTTCTTATTCAAATTGAAGAAACTAAAAACATAAAGAAAGCAAAAATACCAACTTATTATTGGTTATATACACTTACATCTTCCAATTTTACAAAAAAAAAAATATCAAGTGAAGCACATATTCACGTACTACTAAAAAACAAAATCCACAACACACAAATGTGTGCTACAATGACTCAAGTATCCAAGAGAAGGCAAATGAAGATAAGAACTCCATAGTAAGTAAAAACTTACTACAATTTTCAGAGTAAACCCCGGACTCTCACGAAAGGCAAATTAACACGAATTTTCATATCAATGGAAACAAAGATTTTTAGCAAAAACATAACTCAGTTTATAGTATAATATCTTTTTGGACGATCTTTAACCTTAAGAAAACAAATAATAATGAATTAATAATGGAAAACAGTTTCCAGCAAGCTAAAATTCAGAGGTCGTAAAGGTGTTCCAATAAATCATTCTCGACAAAATAATATTTTTTTCAACTGGACAACTATTCTAGGCTTGATTTGCTTCTGTTTTGTTAATAGCAGTGATGGAGGTGAAATGGTACAGATTTAATCTAGGGTTTGAGAGTGAGAGAGAAGAGCTTTTGATATTATTTCTGAGCTGCAAGAATGAAAATGATCCGTCTCTTTACAAATGAGAAGCTCAAACAATATATATATATACATGACCCGACTTCCCCTCTAACCCAACTCGGTTAATAATTACAAAGAAAGAAAATGGGCCGAGCCCAATACAAATAATAACAAAATAAATATGGGCCTAACACTAATCAGGAGTGGGTGGTATATTTCTACCATCCCCCCCTCCCCCCCAAGTTGGAGGGTGACAAAACCCCCAACTTGGAAAGAAAACCATGATGAGCAACATCACCCAGAGCCTTAGTGAAAATATCAGCCAGCTAAGAAGAAGAAGAGGTATGCGGCAGATGAATAAGACCTTCAGCAAGCTTGGCCCGCACCAAATGGCAGTCAAGTTCAATATGCTTCGTTCGTTCATGAAAAACTGGGTTCTTAACGATGTGGATAGTAGCCTGAGAATCACAAAACAAAGGAATAGGTGAAGAAGAATGCAAACCCAAATCAGATAACAAACGAGACAATCAGGCTAGCTCAGCCACAACTTTGCTCATGGCCCTGTATTCAGCTTCAACAGAAGACATGGAAACAACAGGCTGCTTCTTAGACTTCCAAACCACAAGACTGCCACCTAAAAACACACAATAACTACTCACAGACCTCCTAGTGTCAAGACAGGCAGCTCAATCACTATCACAGTAAGCAGTTAGAGACAAGCTTGGCACACAACTCAAGAGGACAAAGAACAGGAGAAACATCTGAGCAGTGAAAGTCAGCCAATAGATCAAGAATAAAATTCCTCTGATGAAGGAAAACCCTAGAATCTGAATAATAAACCTCAATGCCCAGAAAATAGTTAAGACACCCCAAATCCTTAATCTTGAACTGAGCATGGAGAAAGGACTTAACAGCAGAAATTTCAGAAGAATCAGCCCCAATGATCACAATGTCATCCACATAAACAACCAATATCACAAGTGAAGCACCAGAACCCTTAATAAAGAGAGAGTAATCATTGAGAGAAGAAGAATAGCCTTTAGATGTAAGGGCCTGAGAAAGCTTAGCATACCACAGCCTTGAAGCTTGTCTCAAGCCATAAAGGGACTTCTGAAGCTTGCACACCAATTGGTCAGAACCATATGAGGAGGGAACAAAATAACAAGGAGGAAGCTTCATGAAAACGTCCTAATCCAAGTCCCCATGCAAGAAGGCATTGTTGACATCAAGCTGAAAGAGGGGCCACTATCTCTTAACAGCAAGAGCAACCAAAGTTTTAATGGTGGATATTTTGACAACAGGAGAGAAAGTCTCTTGGAATTCAACACCCTCTACCTGAGTGTCCCCCCCCCCTAACTACCAATCTAGCTTTAAACCTCTCAACACTGCCATCGGCCTTATATTTAAACTTGTAAATCCATTTACAGCCAATAGGGTTTTTTACCAAGAGGCAAAAGCATGACATACCATGTGTCATTGGCTTCCAAAGCCTCAAATTCCTACCTCATAGCCTCCTGCCATTCAGGAACGGTGGCAGCTTGGGAGTAAGACTAGGGTTCAAAGATAGAAAGAGCACCAGCAGCTGATAAGGAATCAACATGCCTAGAAGAAGTAGGGAAAGAACAAACATAGTTCTGGAGGTAGCTGGGGGGACTGTAAGGTTTGGAGGACTTCCTGACAAGTGGAGAAGAAGTGGAAGGAGTAGGAGAAGAAGAAGGTAAAACAGCAGAAGAGGGAGAAGAGGAAGAAGGAGAAACATCACAAGGAGGAGGTGAATATGAAGGAGAAAATAAGGGAAAAACCTCACCACTTGTCTCACAAGAAGAAGGGAAGTAAGAAGTTGCAGAAGGAAGGGCATCAACAGGAGAGGACTGGGAAGGAAAAACATGAGAAGGAGTAGATGAAGGTGAAGGAGTGGAGGAAGGTTAGGCAAAAGGAAATATAGTCTCATGGAAAATAACATCTCTGGACACAAAGGAAGATTTTAGAAGCAAGGTTATACAACTTATAGCCCTTTTTAGCAAAGGGTTAGCCTAAGAAAACACAGGGGACAGACCTAGCTCCAAACTTGTCTCTATGGACCCTTGGAATAGTGGCATAACATAGACATCCAAAAGATCTCAGATGGCTATAAGAATGAGGCTTCCCATAGAGAAGTTCAAAGGGGCTCTTGTGATGGAGAAGAGGTGAAAGGAACCTGTTGATAAGATAAGTGGCGGTGAGAATGCAATCACCCCAGAAAGAAGTAGGCAAGCTGGATTAAAAAAGCAAAGCTCTTGTAGTTTCAAGCAAGTATCTATGTTTCCTTTCAACTACACCATTTTATTGAGGTGTGTGTGGACAAGAAGTCTTGTGGATGATGCCTTTCTCAGCAAAGAATTTGAACCAGAGTGGACAATATCACTAACGGGCTGAGCTATTACTGATAGTATCAGAGCCGCTCTTGTGTCAGCCTTACCGATGATGGGGTCAGGGTTCAACTGAGTTTAGGCAAATCCCGGTTAAGTGGGGCAAACTTCAGTGTTGAGTCTAGGCGAAGCCCATGCGGATGGGGCAAACCTCAGCAGGGACGCTAAGTCTATAAGAGGGGGTGTATGTAACATCCCAGACTTTAGACAGAGTCTCACATCGACAAAACACAAGAGGGATGTTGGGTATATAAGTTAACAAGCCTTAGACCCTAGAGACGCGTTTTAAATCCGTAAGGGCCTAGGCCCAGAGCGGATAATATCACTAGCGGGTTGGACTATTACTGCTATAAAATCCTTAAGGAGGTCAAAAGCACTGCTTTTGGAACCAAGAAGGTGGGTCCAAGTAGCCCTAGTGTAGTCATCAACTATAGTAAGGAAGTACATGGCACCACCTGATGTGGGGAACGGTAGGGACTCCAAGTATCAACATGGATTAGTTGAAATGGGGAAGAAGATTGAATAGAACTATTAGGGAAAGGTAACCTAGTTTGCCTGGCCAAGGGACATACAGAACAAGGGAAGGATTGCTTAGGGGAAAGACAAGAACTAATATCAAAAATAAGTTTCATCTTAGAAAAAGGTACATGCCCTAGTCTAAAATGCCAAAGAACATCCATTTTATTAATAGTGGAATGAGATGAATTACAAACAGGATCAACAGGAAAAACAGAATCAGGTGAACACACATCAATAACAGGAAAAGAAACAACATAATGAGATGAACATGGCATGGATGTTGACTGAGTAATGTCCAGCTTTTATAACCCTTCGTCCAGTTTACCAAGAACCAGTGGCTTCTTCAGAGAAGGGCCCTGTAAGACACACACAGCCTTAAAGAACTGAGCAATGCCATCAAATTATGCCACTAACTGATAAAAAGAAATAAGGTTATACTGGAAAATTGGAACATAGAGGACATTGTGAAGAGTGAAATTGGAAAATAAAGTCAAAGATCCAATAAGTATAACCATAACTTTATATCCATTAGGAAGAGATACATAAGGAAAGGGCAACCAACACGGATCATCGCCAACTCCCATAACAAGTCCCATCAAAGGGCTCAGAGACTAAAGTGTTTCCCAACAAATCAGAAGGGTGAACATATAAAAGATGGAAAGGGTGATTATATCATCAGGATGGAAAGGAGGACGGGTGTGTGTTGAGGTAGTATCACTTGTAGTGTCAAAAATAAATAAAGGCAAAGATGCAGCAGATATCGCCATTAAAACCAAAAATGCTAAAAAACAGTAATCCTAATGAAGAATCACAAAACAATAGGAGAAAATGAAAGAGAATACCAACTCTTCTCGCAACCGGAGAAGGTACGACCTTGAAATCTAAAGAGAAATCACCAACAAACCCTAATACATGCTATTTGGACCTTGATGCGCAGAATTGAAGCAATAACCGGTGAAGAAGCGATAGTCATCGTGTTGTGCAGAAGAAAAGACCACATATGGCTCGACCGTAAAAAATCCGTCGATTTCGTCTGTTTCATCGGAGATCGTAACGGTGATGAAATCTGACGAGGGTGACCTCGGAAAGAAGAAGAACACCGGATCTATGAGATTCCGGGCTCTGATACCATGTTAACAACAGTGATGGAGGTGAAATCGTACAGATTTAATCTAGGGTTTGAGAGTGAGAGAGAAGAGCTTTGGTTATTATTTCTGAGCTGCATTGCTCCGTCAGGCTTTTGCTCATTGCAGAAAATTCCCCACTGCTGCCTCTCGTAGGAGTCTGGGCAAAAGAATGAAAATGATCTGTCTCTTTTCAAATGAGAAGCCCAAACAATATATATATATACATGACCCGACTTCCCCTCTAACCCAACTCGATTAATAATTACAAAGAAAGAAAATGGGCCCAGCCCAATACAAATAATAACAAAACAAAATATGGGCCTAACACTAATGATCAGGAGTGTGTGGTATATTTCTAACATGTTTTCATAGAAAAATTACAAGCTAACATATGTCAAATTAGAAATGGGAATAGTTATGTACATACTGCACAAAGGAGTAAAAAATATGTTTAAAATATCTATCTTATATAGTTTACCTTTCAGATAAAGATTTTTGACCAGAATGTGAATAAGTCTCGTCTGTGTACTCTCGTTATCCAAAATATAATATTTTCTTTAAACAACACCTTCACCTAGAAAACAAAATTCACAATACTATTAATAAGGTGATCACATGAGACGCCAAACGATAAGCTGATAGAAATTGAGGAAGATAAAGAATTTTAAATCAAGAAAATAAAATATGTTAAGAAGAAGTAAAAAATGTTAGAATTGGAAAGCCAAAAGATCAAATCGAATATCAAACGAATGGCCAATTCCCCTTGTCTTGTTTGGATTATATATGTACAAAGTAATGAATACATTAGAGTGGGAGAAGAGAGTAATTAAAGTAATTAAGGTGAGAACTGAGAAAGTGACTATTGAAATGCCCAGTAATATAATAGGAGTAATATTTAGTGTAATTACACACTATTACACCTTAGTAGACATTAATCATAGGAATTAAGGAAGGAGAAGTAAACCAAAATATTTAGAGTTACTGGTGAATAAACCAAAAAAAAAAAAAAAATAGGATTCTTGGCCAAAGAGAGGTACCAACTCATCTCCTATTTTTCCAACTTTATGTATATATATGTTGTGCTAGACTTCGTAAGTTCTAGTTAGAAGAACAAAAATTTTGTCATAAATATCTTCCCCTAAACAGCTAACACTCACCTGCACTTAGTGGATAAATCCTTTAAAGAACCAAATAAACTTCTAAGAAGATGGTGAGGAAGATAACAAAAGATAGTTAAATAGAAACAATTGAAATGGATTCACCAAATACACAAAAAAATTACTAAACAAATAATATGAAATAAAACAAGATTCTTGGCATTAAAAAATAATATTGTGCTAGACTTCTTAAGTTCTACTTAGAAGAACAAAAAGTATGTCTTGAACATATTCTTTCCCAAAACAGCTATCATTCCCCTGCACTTAGTAGATAAATCCATTGAAGAACCAAATAAACTTCTACGACGGTGAGGAAGATAACGAAAGAAAGTTAAATGGAGACAAATGAAGCGGCAAAGATACAATTTTATAGGTTCTCCAAAAACACGAAAGAGAAGACAAATAATATGAAATAAAACAACAATATTTGCCCTTAACTCACTCACAGACGAAACTCCTAATTGCATGTACCTGTCTACACCACGAATTTTTCTTTCTATGACTTGTTACATAGTTGTGTTTCAGATCCCAAAGTGATTAATTTGATGTTGAAACACATCAAACAATCAAATGCATACAACAAAATCGAGACTGGCGAAAGAAAAAATTTAGAAATGTCGTCGCAAAATTAATTATGGGAATGAATGAACCCCCGTGAATGAAAACTGCATAGTTGATCAAAACAATTATTGGCCTTTTCTTTTCCTTTATCAACGTAACCTCTGTCCCCTAGCATTTCCTTTTGTTGAAAATGGAATTATTAATTGTCACATAAATATTTCATTATCTCAAGGATAGTAACATTCTCAAAGAGCAGTTTATACATTATATATGCTTTTAATGTTGAAGTAACCATAATAAATTTTCTGATCATGTTAAACTCAAGACTTTATAATCCAAACAGCTAACATCTAAAATTACATATTTGTACTTTAATGTAGAAGAGTCATTTGATTTTGAAAGGGTAAATAGATCAAATTTTTTATGTGATATTTCTGTTTAACATTTTGACAGGCAGAATTCCTGATGAGATTGGTCATCTTAACTTGGACTATTTAGTCGTACAAAACAATAAATTAACAGGCTCAATCCCTTTAACCATATTCGACATTTCATCACTTGGACTTTTATATATGAGGAATAACAAGCTTGAAGGACCTTTACCAAGAGAGGTTGGAAATTTGACTTTGCTTAGCGTTCTTGATCTTGGAAATAATAAGTTGACAGGTATGGAAAAATATATAATCCATGCTATTTTAGAATTCCAGTTTTCCAGATACTCATCATAATCTTATTTTTGCAGGTGCAATTCCTGATGAAATCGGTAGCCTTCAACAGATGACGCAACTTCAGTTGGATTTGAATAACTTTAGTGGGTCGATCCCTGTTGGTATCTTCAATATGTCAAGTCTTGTAAGAATTTCACTCGCACAAAACCACATTTCAGGTAACATTCCGTCCACTATAGGCCATTGGCCACCCAATATTGAACAAATCCATCTACTTGACAACAACATTAATGGTGTTTTACCAAGTTCCATCTCAAATTTGTCAATGCTTACCGTTCTCAAACTCGGTGGAAATAAACTTGAGGGTTCAATTCCTAACTCTTTGGGAAATTTAACAATTCTTGGAGTTGTTGACTTGTACGGTAACTCCTTCACAAGTGATTTGAGCTTTATTACTCCTTTGGCCAATTCGAAATTCTTAAGAGAATTGATATTGTCTTTCAATCCCCTAAATGCAATGCTTCCAAAATCCATCGGCAATATTTCTTCTCTTCAAACGTTTTCAGCGGATGGCTGTAACCTCAGGGGTCATATTCCAGTGGAAATTGGAAATTTGAGAGATTTATCTTCGTTGAAGCTGGAAGACAATGAATTTACTGGCATTGTCCCCAGGACAATAAGTTCTCTAAAAAGCCTTCAACAGTTTTCACTTGGAGCAAACAGAATAACCGGTCCTTTCCCAAAAGAATTGTGTGAGCTATCCAACTTGGGTTTGTTAAACCTTTCACAAAATCAAATGCAGGGAAGTATTCCTAGTTGCTTAGGGGATGTGACTTCCCTAAGGGAGGTTTATCTTGATTCTAATAACTTCTCTGCTATCATACCTTCAAGTCTAGGGAAACTCAAAGACATTTTGAAGCTGAACTTGTCTTCTAATTTCTTCAATGGTTCTCTACCACTAGAATTTGGAAACCTCAAGTCTGCAATACATGTGGATCTTTCCTGGAACCAAATCTCAGGAAACATTCCTAGTACATTGGGAGGTCTACAAAAATTGACTCAACTATCTTTGGCTCATAACAGAATTAAAGGATCTATTCCTGAGACATTTGGGAAACTCATAAATTTGGAAGCATTGGATCTTTCTTATAACAATATCTCTGGTGTGATTCCAATGTCATTAGAGGAACTTAAGCAACTAGGCTCCTTTAATGTCTCATTCAACCGGTTACATGGGGAAATTCCAAATGGAGGACCTTTTGTTCATCTCCCTTACCAGTCTTTCATGTCGAATGACAGACTGTGTGGTAACCCTCAAAAGCATGTCCCACCTTGTCCTTCTAATTCAAAGAATCGTTCTAATTCAAAGAAAAGAAGACTGATGTGGATTGCAGTTGCATCTTCACTTATCGTTGTAATAGTGCTTGCTTCAGCAATTGTTTTCGTGTTGATGAGACATCGGGGTAAAGCAGTCAAAGCTGAAGATGAGTGGTTGCCTGAGGTAGCACCACAAAGAATTTCTTACTATGAACTTCAAAGAGCAACTCAGGGCTTTGATGGAAATAACTTGCTAGGTAGTGGAAGTTTTGGTTCTGTTTACAAAGGGACATTGGCAGATGGGATGATAGTGGCTGTCAAAGTTTTCAATGTGCAGATGGAAGGTACATTTCAAACCTTTGATAGAGAATGTGAAGTCTTACGGAATCTTCGTCATAGAAATCTCACCAAGATCATTAGCAGCTGTTGTAACTTGGATTTTAAAGCATTGATACTTGAGTACATGCCAAATCAGAGCTTAGACAAGTTGCTTTATTCTAGAGATTATTGTTTAAATATAAAGCAAAGATTGAATATCATGGTCAATGTTGCATCTGCTCTGGAATATCTCCATCATGGTTACTCAGTACCAGTTATCCACTGTGATCTGAAGCCTAGCAATGTCTTACTTGACAACGACATGGTGGGACACCTGAGTGACTTTGGCATTGCAAAACTTTTAACTAAGGAAGAATCTATTGCTCACACGACAACCTTTGCGACAATTGGTTACATTGCTCCAGGTGAATCTTTAATTCAATTAACTTGTAACAAGGTTATGGATTAATGCGTTATAAGTTTGTTTTGCTGAAATATTTTTCCTTTTCCTTTTTTAGAGTATGGTTTGGAAGGTCTTATATCCAAGAGGTCTGATGTTTATAGTTATGGTATCATGTTGCTCGAAACTTTTACCGGGAAAAAACCTAATGATGAAATATTCACCGGAGATTTGAATTTGAGAAGCTGTGTGTATAATTCGCTTCCTGATGAGTTGGACCAGATCATAGATGCCGACTTACTAACATTGGATGAACAAAACTTAAGTCAAAAGTTGCAATGTATGTCATCCATCATGGAGTTAGCCATGAATTGCACAGCTAATATTCCAGCTGAAAGGATGAACATGACTGATGTTGTAGCAGCATTGGAAAAGATCAAACAGAAGCTTTCTTCTTGTTATTGAATGACCTAAACCCATGACATCAGGTACTTTCATATCCTTTTGGAACAAAAAGGTTATAAAGTTCAGTAGTATTTAACCATCAGTAGTTGTTCCTTGAATGTTATTGCAGGTAATTGTGTGGCTATTGGAAGTTAAAAGGATGGAAGCTATTTACTTCATGCTTCACAAGAAGTTACTACAGCTCTGGAGAATACTGTTATGAAAAGCCGCTGATAGTTTGTCTACAGTTTTCTTTTGCTTGATGATCTGTATTTGTTTTAAGAAAATAAACTTTATCCTCCAATTTTCGTTTTCCTAGTTCTTTAACCAATCCAATATACTAGTCTATGGCATGTAATCTTTCAAATGAACATTGCATGTAAGATACTTTAAGAAAAAAGGCCAAGTATATAGACAGACACATAAAGCTAACAGTGGTCGGATGTAGAGCTCTGCAGAAATTCAATCATTTTGGACCATGGGAAGGCCCTCAAATTCAAAATGCCCTAGCTGGCGAACTGCTCTGTATCAAAAAGGCAATTTCAGCCATGCTGAAACAATCTAAAATTCATCCCACAAAAGTCCAGCCCATTTTAACCCTTTCTTCAATGAGCTGCCAGTCTAAGACAATTGTCAACAAGAAAATATCGTCTTTGTTTAAAAGAACTTAAGTTTGAAGAAAACAGAGAAAGGAAAATAGTAGTGGAGGATAGGTTTCATCTTAGGTATGCTACTGGTTTTTGCTTGTACTACACGTCATACACCCCTAATTTCCTTACTTTCTTTTTATTCAGGATTTGAGGTGAGTCTACTGTATAAAGTATTTTTACTTTAATGATCAACAAAAACCAGTGCTTCTTTTAAGCAAAGTGTTCCTTATCTGTCATAAGTAAATAATTTGTTGAATTGCACACTGAGTCATTTACCCATTGCTTTATACTATTTGTCTTCCCGGTGAATTTTTTTAATTCAATCCGCATGACGCCATAGCTGAAAATATCAGCTCTGGCAGAAATGAATCCCTTAGCAGTGCACTCTACTCAGGAAATAGATGTACTTATCATCTTTAAAACTTACATAAAAATAATATTATATGAAAATGGAAAAACATGGCTTAGATTGCTATTTACTAGGAAAGTTGTATCTCAATACGATGCTAAGATGAGTGTAGTCCAAAGCTACTGAAGTTACCAATGTTCTATCGATAAGTTCTTTAAGTATATGATGAATAAAACAATAGTTGAACATAGTTATATCAGCTGAAAAAACAATATAAAAGCAAAGTTTTACATAGGAGTTTTGACTCCATAGCAAAAACATGGCTTTGATGGTTTTCCTTACTTTCTATGTAATTGTAAGTTCTCAGCTATCAATCATATCAGCCAGTGATCATCTTTCTCAGCAGAGCAATTCAGAAATCTATATTGTTCACGTTGAGTCACCTGAAAATCTACACGAGTACTCATTATTATCTGTTGTGTCCTCACGCATAATATATTCCTATCGAAATGTCTTCAGTGGTTTTGCTGCTAGATTATCACCAGAAGAAGTGAAGTTATTGGAAACGAAGGATGGCTTTATTTCCATAAGACCTCAAAGGGTATTGCGAGTACAAACAACTCATACTCCAAGTTTCCTCGGGTTGCACCAAAACTTAGGCTTCTGGAATACGTCTAACTATGGCGAAGGTGTGATTATTGGTCTGTTGGACACTGGAATTTATCCAGAACATCCTTCGTTCGATGATGAAGGAATGCCTCCTCCACCTGCCAAATGGAAGGGAAAGTGCGAGTTTAATTTCACAGCATGTAACAACAAGATCATTGGAGCAAGAGACTTTTCGGTGTTTGAAGGTGGGACNGTTAAGGCATTGGAAACAAAGGATGGATTTATTTCCATAAGACCTCAAAGGGTATTGCGAGTACAAACAACTCATACTCCAAGTTTCCTTGGGTTGCACCAAAACTTAGGCTTATGGAATACGTCTAACTATGGCGAAGGTGTGATTATTGGTCTGTTGGACACTGGAATTTATCCAGAACATCCTTCGTTCGATGATGAAGGAATGCCTCCTCCACCTGCCAAATGGAAGGGAAAGTGCGAGTTTAATTTCACAGCATGTAACAACAAGATCATTGGAGCAAGAGACTTTTCGGTGTTTGAAGGTGGGACACCGTTAGATGAAAATGGGCATGGTACACATACTTCAAGCACTGCTGCTGGAAATTTTGTTGATGGTGCGAATGTGTTTGGAAGTGCTAACGGCACAGCCGTTGGTATTGCACCCCGCGCTCACTTGGCTATGTACAAAGTTTGCAATCCAAGTGGCCTGTGTTCCGAAAGTGACATGTTGGCTGCCATGGATGCCGCGATTGATGATGGTGTGGATGTCATATCCATTTCCATTGGTGGAATTTCTGGCCCTTTTTGGGATGACAATATTGCACTTGGTGCATTTAGTTCTATGGCAAAGGGAATTCTTGTAAGTTGCTCAGCTGGAAATGAAGGTCCGTATAATGGTACCTTATCTAATGAGGCCCCTTGGATTCTTACTGTTGGTGCTAGCACGATCGATAGACAAATGAAGGCAACCGTAGCACTTGGAAACGGCGTAGAATTTGATGGTGAATCAACTTACCAACCAAATGATTTCCCTCCAACATTGGTACCAATAGTTTACCCAGCACTGAACAGCAGTTATTTTGGTGCTTTCGCTTGCAGCCCAGAATCACTTACAAATGTTGAAGGAAAATTAGTGCTCTGTGGAACGGGTGGCGCGACAGCAATTGCAAAAGGAAAGCCAGTGAAAGATGCTGGTGCTGCTGGCATGATTCTAATGAATGAAGATATTGAAGGTTACACTATACCTGCACACGATTACGTTCTTCCTGCAACGCGCATTAGCTATGCAGATGCACAAAATCTCATAGCCTATGTAAACTCGACGTCAACCCCTATGGCCAGTATTTTATTTAAGGGCACTGTGATTAATGGAGATAAACATGCTCCTACAGTTGCTTTCTTTTCATCTAGAGGTCCAAACAGAGCAAGTCCAGGCATACTAAAACCAGATATTATTGGCCCTGGATTCAATATCCTCGCAGCTTGGCCAACTTCCATTGAAAATAATACTCATACAAACTTGACTTTCAACATAATTTCTGGGACATCAATGGCTTGTCCTCACCTTGCTGGTATTGCTGCTTTGCTTAAAAGTGCTCATCCAGATTGGTCTCCTGCTGCTATTAAGTCCGCAATTATGACCACTGCTGATCTGGTTAATCTTGGAAACAATCCGATTGAGGATGAATTGCATTTACCAGCTAACGTCTTTGAAATTGGAGCAGGACATGTGAATCCATCAAAAGCAAATGATCCTGGTCTAATCTATGACATCCAACCTCAGGATTATGTTCCTTATCTATGTGGTTTAAACTACACAGAACAACAAGTTAGCGCGATCTTTCAAAACAAGGTGAATTGCACTAAAAGTATACCTGAGGCAGAGCTAAACTATCCTTCATTTTCTATCAAACTTGGATCAGAGACTCAGGAATATACAAGGGCTGTAACTAATGTTGGTGAGGCTGATTCAACTTACAATGTGGAGATTTTACCACCTGAAGGGGTTGAGGTAACTGTTAGTCCTAGCAGTTTGAATTTTTCTGCAGCGAAGGAGAGAATGACCTATCAAGTGACGTTTACACGTTCAGCATCTGGCACTGGCCGCAACACAAACTTTGTGCAAGGATACCTGAAATGGTCATCGGATAAGCACGTCGTTCGAAGTCCCATTGCAGTTATTTTGGAATAGTGAAAGCACCCTCAGTCGTTTCTCTTAGTGTCGGGCTTTATCTATTGGTTATTGTTTTGCTTTCATCTATGTTCTTGTGATGCTGTTATTTCTTTCTAAGGTTTTTATGGATGGTACTGATATATTGTCTTTTTTCGTCTTCCTGAGCCGAGGATCTATCGAAAACAGCCTCTCTACCCCCTAGTGAGATTTCAATGGGTTGTTGTTGTTGTTGTTGAAAGCACCATCAGGCTTCTTCGATATTGATCAATAAATTCTAGAGATAATTATGTATGCCTCTCCTTGAGATTTGAACTTAGCTTGTACTAATATGTTTTTCTTTTGTCGTAATAGATTGGACTATGCATTAAATAAAGGTTGTACTTGAAAATAAATCCAATTAACTGTAGAAAATAATAATCTGAAAAATATATAGAAAAATTAACTGCAGGCATAAAAGGTCAATGAATATCTCTAGAGCATGTAGAGGCTCTTAACTTGACTCGTCGTAGTTAATCTCATGATCATATAGGTTATACCTATAATAAGAACAGCACCAACATGACAATTAAAAAGATTTCACATAAAAATATATTAATAGTGTAAAAATTCTTTACAATATCAGATTACATAACTTAAATTCATATTAAAATGTTGTTTAACCTCCTTTAAGGAAAAAATGCCGGATTTTTTGTATGTAGCTCTAATTTTTTATTGTCTTTTTTTTTCCTTTTTTCCTGAGGTTTACGCCTACTAGTTTTCTTCATACATTTTCCAAGTTTATGTATACGATAAGAAATAACTTCTGCTCATAATAAGTTAAGTTAGGAAGTCATCATTTTCCTCCTTTCATTTGAAAAATATTTTATAGTAGTAACTAAACATAATATAAGATGTATTTTTCGAGAATACTGAACAGATCTAAGGTGAGTAGAGAAGAAACATTAGGATCTGTACATCAACTACATAAAAACAACTTGAGTTCTCCGTGAAGATCGAGAAAACTTGATACTTGAGTTTTACAACAAGCTTTGTTAGCAAGCGCTTGGTTTTCGTTCCATCAGATATAGAGATGTTTATATAGTAGCCACTCAAGAGAACTTACAGATGATTGGCCATTTGGAAAATTAATAGTCTTCAGCCTGCAAATGATTTTGGCTTTTTAGAAAAATAAATAAATACTGGAGTATATTTGTATTCGGCTAACAGCCAAAAAAAGCTCCAAATGCCTCGTCTTTGGCGTTTATTTTATAGTCCAAACAGGAAATTATATAATTTAAAATCAATCCAAGTGGAACATACATAACAAAGCAGTTAAATATATCTCCTCTGAACTCCAACTCTTTCGATAACTTCCACGTGAAAGTAACTGTTAAACGAAGTATAATAGTGATAATTAAATAGAACAGCAGAACAAGGTCCACTTAATAACAATTAATATATACTACTTGGTTTTGTAGAAGAAGTGTATCATTAGCACTTATAGTTTCAACATGGCTCCAACACTTTACCTGAGTGCCATTTCCATAATTTATCTTCAATCCATAGTTACATTAGCAAGTGAAAACAACAAAGAGATTTACATTGTACATCTAGAGTCACCTGATGAAGGTCAATTTTTCTCAAATTTTGAAGATTTGCATAATTGACACCATTCATTTTTGCCGTCAAACACGTTAATCTCGG